ATAGTTCTTCAGTAGTTAGTTTCACATCAAGAATCTATCAAGACATGCATTTCCAAGTCTATCCCCGCACACGGCTCAGTCAGTGTTCCTCAAAACTTACTGGATTGTCGTCTGCCTTGATTTGAAATAGTTGTAAAGCAATGGGCATAAGCATCTTCTTGTCATTCAAAAAGAACAATGCATACGGTGAAGGTATCTAGAAACAGGGACATCAAGAAATATGTAGTAAGAAAAGAAATCGTAGAACTATATATTCAGGTTGTAATCGTCAAGTTTTCGGCCCTCATTCGTWATATTTTTGGKATTGAATCATCACATTTTCSCYTCTTATTCGTRATAAGCTCGTGATTATAWCGACACAATTCCGGTCGTTCAATCGCCTTTCGGAATGTAATCGTTAGATATTCGCCTTTTTTTCGTGTCTGTCACATTTCCAATCCTCAGTCGTCTCACTTTCGGGCTGAAATCGTTAGATKTTYGGKCCTCAGTCGTATAGTASACATACCTTACTATGTGGGAGGTTCAACCCTGATAAAACCTCTAAATTGATGATAAAAACCCGATTGGTTTCCATGGCATCTGKTAAAGACAGTCCCTCGAGAAATGGTTCCACCATTGACGCAGTCACACCAAAACTGAATTAAGACAACAACGATGAACTAATTGTCAGATTGGTCAAAAAACAGTGGAGAGATCACTGGGAACTAGTGTTTGTTCCTTGACARACTACTCCATTAGTAATGGAGGGAAACTCYARATGTGAAGGAGATGTCWAACTAGACGCTAACTTAGCGTGAAGGCGRGCGTTATGTTGTAAGAGCGTAATATTTTACGTGTTATAATAAAATGATAATATTTTTAGACCSTAAAAATTGAAAGAGAAATTACTGACGTTTTCAATGCATCAATCGGGGYCCCTGTGGTATAGCTCGTAAAGCATCATGAGGGACTATACACGACGTTGACAGATACATAGATAGATAGATTGAAGAAAATGTACAACTAAAGAAGGGCACCTATGGCTAACCAGCCTAAATATGTCTACATATTGGAGATATAATATATATCAGAGTAATTCAATTACACCATGAAATATAACCGTTTTGAAAAACAAAAACAAAAAACACTGCACTGCACTTACTTTTCAGGTAGAACTTTGCATAAAGTGATGAGTGTAGGGGCGACGCCACAAAGTCTTTGTCGTCCAAAGTGAAAATCGTCACGCCACAACTCCCGACCCTGGTAACAAAAAATCAGCAATATAAACAACAGTCGTCTAAAAGTTTTAGTTGAATTCACGTTAGAAAACGAAAACCGTGTGAGACGGAAAACTTATCGGCAGATGGAAAACCCGTATAGACAGTGACCGCAGAACGGTCAAATATGTGGGAAGCCGATGAGCGCCGAAGCCGCGATTTTTATAGGGGGGTCCGGAGGCATGCGAAGTTGACTCTTTAACGGTTTGCAACTTGATGCCGTCACAGTATAGTCGAGCTCTGATCATCGATTTTTTGTATTTTTTATTTTAATCTTACCGATTTCATTTATTGTTAATTTTTCGGAAGCAAAAAGCAAAAATTGGGGGGAGGGAGGGGAGGGGAACGGCGGCCCCCCCAGCCCCCCGTCTCCGCGGCCCCTGATAGATGAGGGACAAGTTTCCCGTCTCAACCTGTGCAGCCTTCATTTCTTGAATTCTTATTAGAGAGGGAAAACTGTCCGAGACGGAAAACTCGTCTGATATGAAGMTGAGGAGTGACGAGTTTCCGTATTGTCCAGCTTTATTGATTCGACTAACATGGTATAACATCGAGTACGAGATTGAGTACAAGTTTTCAAACCAGCTTTTGTTGTGTTGTCCATACTGGATTTCAATCCATTTCGTGTTTTTATTTCTTTGATGTTTCAATCTATTCACAGGAATGTAATTCATGATAAATAGCACACTTAAGGCCAATTTTATAACTCGTGCTAGTACTCAATCTCGTACCCGTTGTCAAATCTGAAGTCATCCCTACTATCTAGTCTGTAACGGAATTTCATCATCAATCATCTTTKACGGGTTTCCAGTCGTCTAATATGAAATTAGGCTAATTTTTATTCTTTAGTCAAATTGTTTGGTGGAGCTGAAGGTCCGTCGTTAAGCTGACCGCGACGATAGCACCGCGAGCGATAAAATTCAAATGGAAGTTCTATTAGTATTATTGCAGGCCGACTATCTGACATGGCTTTTGCCTTTCCGCGCCACAAAACGCACAATCGATCAAAAATTCACTTTAAGGATAGTTTTGGTTTTCACACGACCTCACAGAGGACAAAATGGTATCAATTAAGCAAGACTTTTCTCATTATATTCTAGAGTTTTGTACAGMAAAATGGCCGCTTCATCTCTTACTCATGATTTCGCGAAGGATTTGAAGTCACGTGACGGTGATCCAAGAATAGATGCGAAAGATAAGACTAAACATATCGTTAGCCTTCCACGTGGTGTTCATTAGCATCTGATCACGAAATGCTATCACAAAAGAGCACAGGTGAACAGAAGCTGTTGAGAAACTCTACCGACGTGCGCATGGRATTGAGATGACATTTCAAATTGTGAAAACAAGGATTTTTAATTGTGAAATATGTAATGTTTAAGCTTTGTTTCATTATGATATAAGCATAAACGAAAAGGCAAACAATACAGAGCTTTTCCCTGTGGAAATAACAAGACAAAAGGACCAAGTTTGTCTTTGTTTGTTTGTTCGTTTGTTTTTTCTTTGCTTGAACTTCGTCTTGTGTATATATTTTTTTATCTCACATCTCTTGACTTCGGTCATTTTTATTTTCCTTGCGTGTTATGGTTAAGTCGTAATGAAATGTTCAATGTTTTGAACATAAATCAAACCTCCGTTGGGGGAGGATTAATGACAGATTAAGTTTCAAAGCCTCAGGCGGTCTTTCCKTCTTTATGATTAAAAAAACTGCTTTCCAGTTTCCCAATTCATGGTTTTACATCGTAATTATGAAGAATAAACCGTTTTAAAGTCAACATTCAGCGAAAAAAAGAGAAGWAATGTTAGTTTAGAGCTATCAAAGACAAAACAGACCCTTATGAGGACATTATGAATTTCTTGTTATGAAACCACAATGAAATGAAACCACAGGGAGCCCAAATGTTATGCTTTCACTTTCCGTCGACTAAATCAAAAGATTCTCGCAAAAACTAAGCAAATAAGAGTTACACTGCGAATTATGCAGCCAGATTAAAGGTATATCTACCAAGTTCACGGACATAAATTATATTCAACAGATACCCGCCAAAGCGTGTCCCGACCCATTGTGCGACCTACACTTGTGTTGACGCATCAGTGCATCACAAAGGCCTTGTGGGGGAGTATTGAGTCTGCGCTAAGCCATTATTACTAGAAAATACACTACAAAGACCTTAAAACCCACAAGCAAAGCTTGGCGCTTGAATGGAAGTATAAATGGGACGTGTTTTCAAACAGGTCGTGCTACTTCGGTAGCGCGTATAATAAAATTGGAACGATACAGAGAAGATTAGCATGGCCCCTGCGCAAGGATGACACGCAAATTCGTGAAGCGTTCCAAATTTTTTCCCATTTTCTACGTTTACAGCCACCTTAAYTTTATTTTTGCGCCAAAAAACGAATATCTGGGCCTGCGAATAGAGTCCAGCGGTGCGCACGGAAATTGTAATTTGAGACCGTCTGCCGAGAAATGCTCTTCGTTGAACATGTCTTCTCGAAGGCGAGATTTCTAAGTGCTTTAGGCATGTAAACGTGGACAAATTATCCGTGGTAGTGTTTTCAACCAAGCTTATCTCTTGCAAAGAGGTTATGCTTCGCAGTTAGGATCAATCACTTTAWAATCTTTTTGTCATGTGGCGAAGATTTGTCTGTTATTTAAACCATGGCGATTCTAGGTGGTTTTATTACGAAATATTCATGTCTGTTTTAATAAATTATTTCTTCGAGCCTTAAAACAAACACTGAAATCCTCCCTGATTAGAAATACCAACACACGAGTGACAARAACGTGTAAATTCTATAAAGATTTACATAAAGTGTCAAAGACCTGTAAATAAGATTCAAATACTCTGTTGGAAGAAATAAATCTATTAATTTACTTTGACCATATACAGTTATCTTATAAATTTCAAAATCTAGCAGTCTAGAGCTTTGATAAGAGAGAATTAGCGAGCTATTGCAATGAAAATCGAAACGATTATGAGTTATCCAAAACAAGCCGGACTGGACTGAACTGGACCGGCGAACATGACGGACTTATGTGTTCTTCGCTAAGGAATAGACACTATACTGTCGTCACTACTGGACTTTTTTCAGAATTCGCATTATCAACACACAAAATGCAAACAAAACGAGAAACTAATAATAATCTGACTCAACTTATCACAAGTTTCTGAAGGAGCTTGTTTATATTTTCTCTTTTATCTGAACTTAGTAATCATCAAAACTATATCTAAATAACATGTTATATATTACTTCTTGATTATATAGTTAATTTTATAAAAGTAAATCATTCAAAAAAGCCACAAAATTATTAAAGTAAAATGTGTTCCGACGCGCGCGCGCGGCCCATGCTTTTTGGCGGGAAAAACGCGGAGTGCAAGTTCACACTTCGACGTTAGCAAAAACACTAGCAGCATACTCTCTTACGCTTTTGCTTCTGGTCGTACAGATTGGATTTAAACGGATTGAAACATTACTATTAAAGAAGTTTTAACTTTAAACAGAGTTTTACAAGAGTTATGACATAGCAGATGGTTACGAGCAGGGACGTGTTACGAGTTACAAAATATAAATAAAGCCCTTACCGCAGGAGTACTGAGTTTCTTGCCAAAAGTTTCATCGAATTCGCTAAAACTCTCCCATGGATCGTCTGGATAGTTCAGAAGACGATACTTGGACATGGCTGCTTCTCGTCTCACCATAATGTCCCACTATAACACAAAAAGTTTCAAAAAGTTAGGGTCAAAGACCGAACGTCGAAATTAACTCTTCATGAATAATCGAACTTATTATCAAGCTTTCAGGAGCTTTTAAAGGTAGTTTAAGATACAAACTGTGTGTTTCGTAAAACCGCACAATGTTTYAGGTATTAATGCCTTTGGAAGTATAACTATTAAGAAAATTGGAGGCTATATTCAAAGTTGCAAGAGAATTTACAGCTAAAGAATCGCTCCTATGCAAACGAGCTCAAATGACTTTCGCACGTTGAACAATAGGAGTTTTGAATTTGATACCTCAAAAATCAAGTTCGGCTTTGACTAGGCCTGGCCCCGGCCATATAAGGTTCCTTTTTCAAATTTCAGCCAATGAGAAGAAATTTGAGCAAAACTTGAAACAAAAATCATGATGAGAGTCTGTAGGACAACTTACTTTGTAATTTCCGAAGAATACTTCGTCCTTTGGACAAAAACTGACCTGTAATAAAGAGAAGTTTAATAATTTAATCACAATTTTATTAATATTTYACAGMCGTAATGAACAGAGCTCTTCCATGACGGTTCGCYATATTGACRTGACAGTTTACGGCCGTCTCAGGACAATTGATCCATCGCACAACCTTCCACATGACCCATTATGTGCAGTTGTGCGAAAGGTGAACAGCGCTTTCCATCACCGGATCCAGTAAAAGTTTCATATCTTGTTCAGTGTATAATTTATCTCTCATCACAGAACTCTTATTAGAAAGGCTTAGAAACGACGCAGGTCAACGTAGCTATCCATTTTTTTCCCATTTTTCTCTGGTTTTTAATAATTTATCTGAAATTCGTATTTCATGTTTCTAACTGATTCAATGATTATTCTCGATAAATGAATAAAATTAAAAACTTTTGAAAAAATAGCAAATCCTACTGTAGCGGCACCCAACGCCGCCCAGAAAAGGTCCCGGTACTGTCCGGATAAGAATAACCAACTTGCACTTCACTAAAATGACAAGTAAAACATTCCTCAATAGCAAGTACCCCACGAAGGTGAAAGATAAACTTAAAAACGTCAAAAAGCGACACATTTCGTAAAGTTTTTTTCCAATTTTAAAAGCCTGCTTGTGACGGCCAAGGTTAGCATCGGGTGTCGCTTAGCAACAAGGTTTTACAGGGATACCGTCACTAACGTAGCGGGTGGGAATTGGACCAAGCTTTCAGTATGTCACGTAAAAGCGTCTTTTGCCAAAAAGCAGTTGAACTTGACTCTAAATGAAATATATCTTCATATTGTCAATAAAAGTTATTTTCAAACCCTTCAACAAAAAAATTGGCAAAAACTTTAAATTAAACCAAACACTGATTGGCGAGTTTGGTTTGTTTTGGAATGAAACAAAGTTAACTCTTCAAATTACAATTTTWAATTGATTGAAAGTTTGCTAATATTTTTTCAGAAGTTGTTTTCTGRAACTTTTGAGGGCCAAATGTTGTTTTATAACACAAAGCCGGGGACATTTTTAGCAAAAGAGTCGGTTTAGCTTATCAGGACACAACCAAAACTTTGAAAACTTGATTTCAAAGATATGACCAGTTYACCATGATATTCAATAAATTCTAGCACGCAAAAATTCTTGGAAATCCCGATTCAAATTCTGCTTATCAAAATATGCTCTTTGTTTTCATACGAGTTTCTTGACTTCGCGAATAATCTTCACTGAACTTGTTTCTAGCCTYCCAAGTATTTGAATGTTTTATACTTTTTTAGATGAATTAAGCCAGTGGCATCAATAATGTTAAATTACAAGGGAAAACTAACAAATATATTGAAAAGAGAAACATTCATGGAATATGAATAAATGAATATGATGAAGAGAGAAAAACCGGTGCCGCRAAGCCGGCAAASTAACACAAATGGTAATTACTTTGCGTTATTTGTGTCAAAACACTAAAAAATGACCGAAAATCATATATTACCTGCGGTGGAAGGTTTTCCAATCTTCTGTGRTAATTATACATTTTTCTTTTCCAAAAGATTTCCAGTTCTCTTTGCTCGGCTTCCGAGTCGGCATCTTGTGGGAGAGAGCAATCGTATTTTGTAATAGTAACTGGTCTTTTATTTCTTATCCAACGATGAATCGGAAACACTAAGTCTTCTTTGCCAGTGAAATCGTTATCTAGACTGCCAAAATAGCGTCGAAGTTCGATCTTTTCGACAAACCACTCGACGCATCTTTTGTCATTCAACTCGGAGCGAACAAGTTTGAGTTTTTTGATAGGACCAAGTCCTCCTAAATCGATTCTAAAGGTGAATACATCGGTATGTCCTCGCTTAAATACTGTGAAACAGTTCCCAAGAAGGCAAAATTCCTTGCTGGATTTTCCTTTCTCGTCAAAGAGCGTCACAAACGCACAGTTGTGAAGTCCTACTCCTTTTGTGTCTCCAGTCTTTACTGCAATTATCAAATTAGGATACTCAAAGCACGAGAAACAATCGTTTGTGTTGCCCATGTTGAAGTCTAAAAATCTTCATTGCCATAGATAATCATACTGTGTCATTTTTTGAGGAAATAAGGTCGAAGCTTTCTAGCGTTCAACAAGTGTTTGGTAAGCAGTTATTCATCCCCAAAAGGACGCCGAGTTGATGCTTTTTTGCTAGAGATCCAATTGAATAAAAGTCCTCTAATATTCGTAAGCTTAGTTCTGTAAATTGTGGACAGGAAATGCCTGCAATCCTGACTCAGTTTTAAGAGTTTTGAACTAATTTGYTGCGAAAATGCAACTTAAGATGTATTCACTTAGATTTGAAGTAAACYGACCAGAAGACGCTGCATCAACAGGTCTCACAGAAACATCAATTATTAATCGATTATAACCGGACAAGACACTTTGACATAGAAATATCAAAAATACCGTGAACGACTGGCTTGCAGATCTTCTTAGCTCCGGGCTTCAAGCGCGCTGGAAGAAAACTGACGATAGCTGGCGACATGTCGAATACTAACAATACATGTGGGCGGAAAGTTGGCAATTGTACCACGGAACWCAGATAGATATATACAAATATGACAATATTTGGGACTGAAAGCCAAAAAGCTAAGATTCCCAGGGTCTTCACGTAATTACTAGTGTTGCMACAYAGAATCGGGGCCAGAAATCCCAAATTCCCAGGACTTAATTGCAATTATTGTCACTATTACCTAGAATTGGCGCCAAAAAAGCCAAAATTACCAGATCTTGATTATTRCTATTACTTTAACAWGTAAAACATTGCAAAATTCAGCCAAAAATACCGGCCAAATCTTGTACTTTGTAAATAAGAATAATTTTTAATATAAAACAATGAAAACCTTACGATATTTCAGTTCAGTGCATGATAATATTTCAAACAATACCTGCACTCACATCGACACTGGACTAATGTATTACGCTGTTTAAGGTGCAGCAGTTTGTAGTTGAACCCTCAGAAAGGAAATCTAGGTGCTGTTTATTTGAAAGATTGAACTTCTAATTCACYTAAAATATAAATAAATTATAGGAAAAATCGTGTTCCTAGTGAATAATTTTCGATACTTCAACGGATCCAATGCAAAAAAAGTCTAGGCCTTTCAAACGTAAATATACAACTTTATAGTTTGCGGTCAACCGAAAGTTTAAAATGGTAAAAGATCTCCACAAAAACATTTTGTTTCAACTTTTGTCTTTGTGGTACTGAGTGAGTAAATGTTTTATTTTGTAAAAAAAAATGTTTCCGTGTAAGGGAAAAAATTTAGGTCATAAAAATGTATATTTTGGCTTTCCTCCGACCAAAATTGGTTTCAAACAATTATAAATCGGCCGCGCACTCGCCATGCGCCCGCAACGCGTTCTCACTGGGAACAGCCGAGTTTGGCCATCACCAAAATGTCGGTTTWGTTGAGACATTGTAAGGAAGAGCGGTGCTGAAGTAAATTCCACCTCAAARACTAATGGAAAAGTTCGAACTTGAMTAMGTATCATGTCTATCATAAACAATATATTATAATTCTGGGGAATGCTTATTTCAAATTCCATTTTTATGCATTTGAATTTGATAGTAAAAAGCACTTATAAAAGTAATTTGTGTTGAAAATTCTATTAAAGCAATTTAAATTCAACAATCGAATATGAATAATATACATATAGAGAATTTGGAAACATTTTGCGCTGGCAGATTAACGTAAGGTTTACGTAAACACCGCGAATTTGAATTTTATATAAGTTTGCAAAGGATTCRTGCCAAAAATGAACACGAAAATTTAGTAAATAAATATATCCCATTTTACTTTGAATTCTTTGCAATTAAGGTTTTTTTACGTATATTTGTTGGTTTTCTGAATTTTAGCGAAAAGGTGCAAAACGAAAATGAGCCGAAAATGAGTTTGGTGATTGGGATCCCTGTGAAAAAATTCAAGCTAGCTCCAGTCTCCACTCAAAAATCTATCGCAATTTAATTTCACTTTTCGTCAGTAAAATCGTGTAAACTACTCGCCTAATCTTTAAGACAGAAAAAATTGTTTTACCATAATCTTTTAGAATATCTCGAAGTTTTAGTTTCATAGATAATCCGATAATAGAAATGTTCTTTCAAGCCAATAAATACCTATTGTTTCACAATCTAGGATTGTGGGTGGCCCTGTGGCCCAATGGATAAGGCATCTGACTACGAATCAGGGGATTCCAGGTTCGAGTCCTGGCAGGGTCGTTTTTTTTCTTTCAGAAAAATTATATTACTTCTTTTTACTTATATTTCTTTGAGGCAAAGGCTATCAAAATATCCATTTTAGCTACTCCTTGATTTTTGCAAAGAGAAATAAATGAAATACCAWTGCCGCTCCTTCTGCAGTTCGGATCGTCAGGCTCGCAGTTTGGATTCCGCTATCTTTATACACTAAAAAGCAAATCTAAAATCACACTTGAATACTTACATTTTTTCTTTCATTGAAGTTGAAGTYCAGCTATACGATCAATGCCGAGAACTCTTTTAAACCGTCATTCCAGCTTTGTCAGTCCGAGCCTCGGATCAATCTACACGAAGGACAAATGAAGAAACTGCTAAACTAGGCTCTCCAAATCGGATTTACACATAAATCTTCCATGGGAATGTTCCTCTTTCAGTTTAAAACTGAAAATATTCTGCAAAAATGGGCTTGTGAACTATGTATGAAGTAGATCCCGCTACTTTGATATGACAAAAGTTTCTCAGTTGAAGATTCGCGCCGTTTTGTAAGAAAACTGCTGACCACAGAGCCGGGACGAGCGATTGAAATTTTGAATGAAAAAAATGGTGGGAAATATTCATTTCCGAATCTTTCAATCATGGTTACAGCACTATTAATAAAAAATGACAACAATTTTAGAATATAATCTTTATTTTTCAAACCAATGCATTATAAAATCATTGACAAAACATTCTTGAAAGTATGATGAGAAATGCTAAATTTTTCTTTTGTGCAATTCAGTGCCATAAAACAGAAAGAGTAGGTATGTTTTTGGAAAATTTATTAATGAAGTAAACATTTCTAAATTGGAAAGAAAGTCATAAATGTGCATTACATTGTGTCTAAAAATATTTATGAACATTCAAACATTCATGACGAAAAATCCTGATGGAGCATCTTTTTGTGGTACTTTTAGAAACATTACCTTAACATGCATTCAGTATTGCAAATAATTTAATGTTTAAAATATTTTTTCTAGGTTTAAAGTTCATCTTGCTTCTTCTTTTTGGATTTGCTCTTTTTACTTTTTTGAGTTTTCTTGCTCTTGTCTTTGACACARTCTTTGGTATATTTAGTGCATAGATACTCATGCAAAGAGCCATCCTTTCTAAACTGTTCATAGAGCTTGTCTTCTCCTATTTCTCCCACCATTGCTTCACATTTTGATGATAATCTGAGAAATCAAGTTAAGAAAGTTAATGATGAAACTTAGGTCCCATCTCAACATTCATCTGGATATTTTAAAAAGATAGTATCTTCCGAGCAAATTAATTCCAACGATTATTTGTATACACTTTGTTCTTAAATATTAATTGCTTAGTGCAACGTTAATGAGAAATTGTTCAAATCTAGGAAAAACGGAGTACAACCAAGAGAAATCATCTTGTGACTTAACGGTTAGCTTTAGGGATAGCGGTTGGATTTTAAGCCTTATTTAGTGTTCGCTGGTTCAAATCTTATCTGGATCAGGTTTTTTTACTAAGTGAGGAGAACCAAAATCCTTAAAACATTGTGCCACTTGTGCTTGAAAACCTATGACGTAAATGTATTTGGTTACACGGTGCACAGCGATAGAACCTTTAAAAAGGTTGTGGACCTGTGTGCGTTCAAATGAGAGCAATTATTATAATCCATATAAGAATGCTTGCACAGAAATATCCATTATTAGATCCTTCCACAGAAACCCAGAGGTGTTTGATTGTGAGTGTCTAAGATGAGATAAGTAGAAAATACAAGATTTGTTTACCTTCCWGGCCATTTACCACCACCCTGCATCATTCCTGGATATTCCTTGGCTTCCAGCCCTTCGCCTGAAATCCTGTTTACTCCCTTGACGGTCTTAATGCCATAGCTACAGATAAGATGCGATACAATTAATTATTAAACTCTATAAGTGAAATTACATTTTCAGAGTTTACTGTTGTTATGTCAGACATTTTTCTGCTATTAAGTTATTCCAACACTAGTGATTTGCATCTAAAAACATAATTTCAAAAATGCTTTTTTCTTATTTATAACTCAAATAAAGCTTTTTGCTTTTAAAAGTTAATTCAAACTTGTCTTGACCACAAATCTTACAACAAGTACACTACAACTGCATCCTTTTTTAAAAACATCAGCATACGAATAGAGCAAATGCAGGAAAACCATGAAATAAAATCAAACTAAAATATTAACAAATAGCGACTATAATTTAGAGCAAATTGTCAGTATCAATGAACCAGAATGCAATAAAGATGAATGAAAAATGGTCCCATGTGGATTCATCTTCATTGTGTTCTGGTTCATTGATACTGACAAATTGAGAGAGACAGGCTTGCAAAACTACTTACTCCTCATAAGACTTTGAATCACAAACACCTTCAATAATATCAATAACTTCAGATTCTGGTAATGGTTTTCCTTTCARGGATGGCCTTTTGTCCTCTGCCATACCAAGAGCTCTTGTGAGCTAAAAAATAAACATGAAAGAAAATTTTTCAAAGCTTTATTCAACAAGACAAGACAATGTAAAGTAGCACTCCATTTWAATCAAAATGTGTTCAGTTATTTGTGATTTTAGGATTTAACCTAAAATATAAAAACAACAACAGGTAGCGAGTATAGAAATCTTGAGTGTTGCTACAGGTTATAASATGATGGTTAGTGATTTTAAGAATTTTAGTGGGATTAATTATAAAAAAAAATGAAAAGTGAGAAATAAATGGATGTAATTCTAAAATAAAGATTTCAGGAAAGATAATGGATCATATAAAATCAGTGTTAATCTAATTTTGATACAAAGGAGTTAACACACTTATTGACCACAGAATAACTTCTGTGAAATTTGAAAAGCTAKAGATTTCTTTTCAAAGATAAGCTTAAAGTTAATAAATTTTCAATTTAACAATCTTAAAAGTTTATGGGAAATCCTTTTCAACTTGAAGATAACAATTTATAAATTGTAGTAACTTAGAAACAAGATAAAACAAGTCCAAATGAATGTGATTACTGCTACTTAGCTACGTTACAATGATAGCAAATTKGGCTTATTTCAAGAGGTGACAGAGTTCCAAGATTTTAAATCTTGGATAACAAGAATCCTAAAGCTTACCTTATAAGCAATAACCGTACAGGCATCRCATTGTATTTCAAACGATTTTGGTGTATGCTGTGAATGTTGTTCTTCCTCGCTCAAATTTGGAGTTTCAAAAGTCATTTTCTCTTGTTTCTGAGTTCTTGCAAKAGCCACAAAAGCGAAAAGTACAACGAAAACTTTCATCGTGACGAGTTGTGCCTCCACAAAAACGATGGTTTCTACTAGAAAATCTCTATGCAAACAGAGGAAACAGGTCCCTTTGTATATTAAGAGGATAACAGATGTTTTCAAGCAAGTAATAAAGGRCCAGATGAATAAATAAATTGTTTATGCTCAACGACGAAGCTACCAACAAATGATTGAGCGCCACGAGAAAAGGTGTCACACAGGTATCCTCATGGGACATACCGCTGATGTAACACAACACACAAGTTGTGTTTCAAAGTACTTTTTTGTAGTCTAATTTTTTTTCTTTTTCAACTGTTTGAGTAATTCGGTTTAGGGTATGCTTTGAATATTTTCCAAGATTCTTTCTTCACGTGTAGAAACATCCCCCCCCCAAAAAAAACACGCAGATTCCCTCAAAAGACTTTTTAGCATGAGTGTCTGGGCTTCCTGTGCATTTGAAATTGTAAAACATTCCCGAATCTTTCTCAATTTGCTTTCGGGCAGATTTATAATTTTAAATCTGACAAAACTCTAGAATCGTACATTCAAAGGAGATTTTATTTATCATTTTGAATAAAATATATATATAATTCATTGTGGAATCTGTTCAGGGGCAGTGGGTCGAATTTCGCTACTACACCGATACGAACACTTTACTAGGTAGGCTACCTAAACCAAGGAAAAGTATGTCTGCCTCTCAGAAAACGGKTACATTTATCAGGATATTTTTTAGTCTTTTTTTATTTCATTTGTGTGTAAGTGTGAACGATTTTTTCTTTTCTTCTTCTTTTTTTGCTAAACAAGACATACACCTATCACAAAAACGTTGTCCAAGAAAAAGAAACTTTTTTTAAGCAATTAATTAAAAAGCAGAAAAAAGTGTTCAGCTTCAGTGGTCGTCTTTTGTCTTTTAATRTCTTCCTAAATCACTGAATCTCAGRGTAACGTTTTTGTAATTACGTATATATATAAATTTATGAGGTGTTCAAAGAAACTTGTGTACAAGGTATGTACAAGTGTAAGCTCCTCTTGGTAAAAATACAGATTGGCAACGACAAGTTCAAACTTTGAAAAMTAASCTGTCAAAGCTTGAAAAAGTTTCCAATAATCACTAAGGCGGTTTTCGCTGTATTCTTTTAGAAAGAAAGCTTACTTTTAACAGAACRTGTGAWAAGAGTGCAGCTATCTGTACTAWAAACGATTTTAACGGTTTGCCAAACTGACCAACGCCCCTCGACATATACTCTATTATTTCTCTTATTTTATAATCTATACAAATATTAAGTTAAAATTAATTTCCTYCACTAAAGTCAAGCGTCAAACCAGCATCTTGYTTGAGACGACTGTCTGTCTGTCCTTGATATTGACTGACGTCCCAATTAAAATAGCCTCCGCTRTGCTGTTGGGTCGAGTAAGAGTTTACATCACCGTCGTGKCCTGGGTAGTAATGACCAGGCTGTGCATGTGCTCCTTGYTGCATTGCATAGGGATTRTAACTCGGGCTRCTWTCGAAATTTCCAGKTGTGTTGAAGAAATTAGCTGCATCCTGATTGTAATAGTAATTCATTTGTTGTTGGTTTTCAGACGTGTAATATGGATTTRTTTGTCCTTGTGCGTCATTTGAATAGTAARCAGCTGGCTCCTCTTGSTCATTGTTCTGTTCTTGCGCGGGCTCTGGGTACGAGGGTTGTTGCTCGTACTGCGSCTGCGCTTCAGTGTCAAGATGTGCATAAGTTTCTTCGGGTTCTTCTCCCACATGGGGCACTTGCGATACAGTTTCTTCGCTCGGARCAATTTCTCCTGTATGTTCCTGAAAATCCCTGGATTCCTCTTGAGGAGTGGTCTCTTCTGTAAAGTACTTTTCTCCTTGGCTTTGATGTTCTTGCTCTT